AGCTTTCGTGGACTACAGCCCACTTCTTCGGAAGTGGGCTGTAGTCCACGAAAGCTTATGCTTTAATAAATTTGTTAGTCTCTAAGGTGCCACAAGTCCTCCTGTTCTTCTTTTTGCGGATACAGACTAACACGGCTGCTACTCTGAAATCTCTGCTTCTCAGGCTGCCTGGGAAGCACAGAACAGCTGTAATGCAGCATGCTCTGGCCCCAACCCCAACCCGCCCCCTACACTCTCGGTGCAGAGCCCATACACCAGCTGGGGAGGCCCCTGAATTGGGGGGATTCTCAGAGGGCTCTTTGCATCCACCTTGAGTCCCCAGAGTGGTGTCAAGTGGTCTAAGGATCCAGCCCAGAGTCTCCCACTCTCCACGCAGTCCAACCTGACCCCTACAGCACGTTCCTCCCTGTAACCATTTCCTTGTGAAGGTCTGTTGGCCCAGTGAGGCCAAGCAGCCAGCCCCTTGCTCCAGCACTGACAGCTGTCACCGCACACTCCCTACAGCATGTGTCTTCTCTAAGGAATCCCGGGAGCTCTTCGGTTCCTGGGGGCAGGGAGCACACCCTCCAACACACCCCTTTCCGCTGCGCCAGCGACACCCAGCCAGGAATGGGAAGAATTCGTACAGCACGACAGATTCTCTGTGTCACGTGAGTTTTATGGAGGAGCTTTGGCACAGAAAAGACATTCAGAAATGTTCCCAAAGCCCCGAGAGACTGGCCCGGATCAGGGAACTGAATCCTCTGCCTGAGACTCCCAGTTGCATTTACACACAGTACGGCGGATGAGGGACGAGGAACAATGATAAATGGATTGGAAACAATTTTCGAGACGCGCTGTGAGCCATGGCCACACAGTGGCACCCAAACCTACGACAATTTAAGATGAGACACGGGGGGGGGGAGGCAGGGAGACCCACCCACTGCATCCCTACACCGCTACCCAGGCCTGGGATCTAGTGGGGCTGCTTCCCAGGGGGCAGGGAATGGGGTTATTCCCTTCCTCTTTGGGGGAAAGGGTCTGGAGAGAGATTTCCCCTCTGAAAAGGGGAATGTGCTTCAACAAAGGAGTCAGACCAGGGCAAAGATGGGGTGAGAAGAGGCCGTGGGAAACGCAAGTGGGCACCGTGATCTTGGGGCTAGGACAAGCAGTCATTGAAGAATCAGTGACAAGGGAATGAGAATCAGCTGGGTTAGTAATGACCCTTCACTAACCTGCCAGTGCAATTATGGTGATGATCAACGCTGTGATGACGACAGTAACGGTAATTGGGATCCGTTTATCTTTAATGCAT